CCAAAGAGTCACTGGAATGGACATTTTCGTATTTTGTCTACAAAAGTTGGCAAACTATTTCACACATTGAATATTTTTGGATGGCCATCCAAAACTGCTTGGCTTTTGCAATGTCCGGTAACCCCCATTCAAATGTGCGTGAGGACCGGCGATAATTACGACCTTCTGACAATTTTGCAGTTTTTTGGTCCATTTCAACCCCTAAATATATGGCGATCATCTCCAAAAAGAGTAGGCTTCTATTCTGACCCTCATCTGATCCCCATGCAAAATTTCGTTAGGATCGGACTATAAATGCGATCTGTATATGATATCCTGATATCCTAACTACTTAGCTGTAGAAATATTACCAAATGGTTAATTCAAAATGAAAATATGCCAAAAATATGACAAAATTGAAAAAATATGAGAAAATTTTACAAAATCAATATTTTCATCTTTAGAGAGATATTTTTATGTGATTTTTTTTTGACGATTTTACTTTCCTGCCAAGAGGCCATTCTGAATTAATAAGAACTTTGTTAATCAGTTCAGCCGTTCTCGACATATAAAAGATTTTTCAAGTATATCTTCTTTAATAAAAATATATATCGCACATATTTTGCTATATATCTGATTTCTTGGATGTTAACATCAGTGTAAAGATCAGAAGTAACCTTGTCATGGCTTTGTGATTTCGCCGGGATTTAAAATATTCGCGGTTTAATGAAAAATTTTGAATTTTTTCAACACAAAATATATGGTCTATTTTACCCGCTAAATATTATCCGATGACCACCCAAATTGGTAGGCTTCTTCCCCGCCCTAAACTCTAGCTACATGCGAAATTCCGCGTCGATTGGTCTATAATTGCGATCTGTATAGCTACTGCAAAATCCGACATTTTTTCAGTATTTGGTCCATTTCAACCCCTAAACATTTGGCGATCATCTCCAAAAGAAATAGGGTTCTATTCTGACCCCAGACCCACCTCCATTCTAAATTTCGTGAAGATCGGGCCATAATTGCGACCTGTAGAGTGATTACAAATTAACATGGACAGACGGACAGTCGGACAGACGGACGGACGGACATACATAGCTAGATCGACTCAGCTCGGCGAGCTAGGAAGATCCATATATACTTTCCTATGTGAGAAACCAATATTTCGAGGTGTTACATAATTTTTGGCCCAATCAAACTTATAATACCCCCAACACATAGTGTTGTAGGGTATAATCAGCATAAAAAAGATAAAAGTTCGCCTTTTGTGTATTTTGGATATCGCCTGTAAATAATGTTGGTAATTTTTTACACAATAGCAGTGGTCCATTCCACGCGCTTTCCTAAACTCTAACTTTATGCGAGATTTCGTGTCCTTTGGTTTCTATTTATGACCTTTATAGCGGCTGCAAAATCAGGAGCATTTTTAGTTGTTGGTCCATTTCAACCCCTAATTTTTTGCGGACATCTTTGAGAACAATAGACCTAGCCCTCCTGGGCCTAAACCCGACACGTGTGAACATTTTCGTGAGGATCAGACGATATTTGCAATACTTATATAATAACCCTAATCTGTGTTGTAAGGTGAAATAATATTACAAAATATTAAAAGTCAAATTGAAAAAATCGCATGCGATAAAAATTATGAAAAAATAAAAAAATGTCACAAAATACAACAAAATCTATATTAGCATCATTACTTGCATATTTTTCAGGGATTTTTTTAGATTTTATACTTTGATGTCTAGAGGGCATTCTGAATTGACAAAATTTGTCAAAATCGGTCCAGCCATTCTTGAGATATAAGCATTCTAACTAACATCCCCTTCCCTTGTATATACACATTGTATATATTTCGCTATATATATCCGATATATTTACTATCGGCATCTACATAACGGTCAGAATTGATCTGTTCGTCTATTTTTGATTTCGCCGGGATTAAAAATATTCGCAGTTTAATAGAAAATTTTACTTTTATTTAACACAAATGCTATGGTCTATTTCACCCACTAAATATTACCCGATGACCATCAAAATTGGAAGGATTCTGCCCACCCCTAAGCCCTAGCCACATGCTAACTTCCGCTTTGATTGGTCCTTATTTGTAGAGCAACTGCAAAATCAGGATTTTTCAGTTTTTGGTCCATTTCAACCCCTAAATATTATGCGATCATCTCCAAAAGAAATAGGGTTCTATTCTGACCCTAGCCCCGTCTCTATTCTAAATTTCGTGAAGATCGGGCCATAATTGCGACCTGTAGAGTGATTACAAATTAACATGGACAGACGGACGGACGGACATACATAGCTAGATCGACTCAGTTCGGCGAGGTAGGAAGATCCATATATACTTTCCTATGTGGGAAACCAATATTTCGTGGTGTTACATAATTTTTGGCCCAATCAAACTTATAATACCCCCAACACATAGTGTTGTAGGGTATAACAAGTTAAAAAGTATTTGTCGGATTTGCTGACAGCCAATATTCAATTATTTAAATATATATTGACTTCTGTTATTATTATTCAAATTGTTGACCCTACATGGAGTGGATTCCGAATGAATGGGCCCATATTATCCAATGCTTCAAAATTGTCGGACCTAAACAAATATGATATATATTTCTTACTTCATTCACTTTATATGAGATATGTGCGTGAGTTACCAGATATGGTCGACCAAAGTATTCCATTTTCATACTTTATCTAATACAGATAAAAATTTTATGTTTTTTTTTTTTTTTTTTGCAAGAAAATCGAATATTTATATCCAATTTTATGCGAAATCATAAATTCCATATTCATCTCAGGTTTTTGATGGAGAGAAATATTTAGATATAGAAAGTTCTTAAGAATCGCTGACTTGTTTGGAAAGTTATGACAGATAAAATAATTGTAAATTGTGATCCTTTGTGTGTGAAGTACCAGAAGGGGTATCAGAAGGGGATATATATCATCTTCACAACAGATCTTGTGTTAGCAAAATTTTTGTATGTGTGAAATTTGAAGAGAGTTGGATGCTTTTTTCGGATTTTGTTATAGTTTTGGTTATTCAAGACTTTGACCCTTTGTGGGAGAGGTACCAGAAAGATGGGTCCGATTTCTACCGTCTTTATAAAATATCTTATGTTGATCGAAATATCGAGATGTGCCAAGTTTGAATGGAATCGGATGTTAATTTCAGGTTTTATGAGCTTTATGGATATTCAAAATTATGTCCCTTTGTGGGGGAGTTACCAGAAGGAGTGGACCGTTATATTCCATCTTCACAATAGATCTTGTGTTTGTAGAAATAATGGGATGTGTGAAATATGAAGAGATCCGGATGCTTTTTTCGGATTTTGTTATAGTTTTGGTTATTCAAGACTTTGACCCTTTGTGGGAGAGGTACCAGAAAGATGGGTCCGATTTCTACCGTCTTTATAAAATATCTTATGTTGATCGAAATATCGAGATGTGCCAAGTTTGAATGGAATCGGATGTTAATTTCGCATTTTATGAGCTTCATGGATATTCAAAATTTTGACCCTTTGTGGTGGAGGTACCGGAAGGAGTGGACCGATTTATTTCATCTTAACACCAGACCTTAGGTTATTAAAAATATTGTGATATGTGTAATTTGAAGGCAATCAGTCTCTTACATTACATTTTATATGAGTTGTAATTATTCAAAATGATTACTGTTTGTGGTGGAGGTACTTAATGGAGTAAACCGATATTGCCGATTTTCCGAGCACAGATGCAAACATTAAGATTTGCGAAGTTGAAGAAATTGGAGTATTATTTCTTTTTCTGTGCAGTATTTTTTTTTTTATTTTTTGAGAATCTCGTCCTTTTTTTGAGGGCTTCACCAAAAGGAGTGGACCGATATTGTCCATCTCCGAACTCGATCTAAGTTTGACAAAAATATTACGATGTACCAAGTTTGGACCAAATCGGATACTCCCTTCGAGAATTGTCGGATATCCATAGATCGACACCAAATGTCCTGAAACGGATTTGGTTCAAATAGACCTATGGTCTAAACCGTTATTTCGAAAAGGCACGTTTTGTCCGTGCTATATGATTGAGAGTATAATTTAATAATACCTTTTTGGAGTTTTGCTTTTTGGATCTAATACCAACAACTTCGCATTAAATTTGTCACCCACCATAACAAATAGGTTCAACTTGGAAAGTACCGTTATATGAGGGCTATTCCGAAATGTATACTTATATAAAATACCTTCTGCCGGAATGTGTTGTACACTTAAAAAAAAAAAAAAAAAAAAAAAAAAAAAAAAAAAAAAAAAAACAAGAATAAAGAATAAACAAGCTATAAGTTCGACCGGGCCGAACTTTGAATACCATCCACAATTTGGAACGAATTTGGCAATTGTCAAAAAAAGGAAAATCCGTTAAGAATTCTGTTAAAATCTTAAAAATACCAAATGTAGCCGTCGTATTAGGGCATAAACAGCGACGTGGACCTGCATAGGCAACTTTTGTCATAAGCTATTACAATATTCAAATACGAAACTTGAAAAAAATCGGTGAATAATGTAGCTAAAATGATCAATATAGGGAGGTTCTATTATATGGGAGCTATACCAAAATGTGGACCTACACAGACAATTTTCTACCTTATCCTTCTGTATCCATTACGAACTTCAAATACCAAATTTGAAACAATTCCGATTTGATTTTAAAATTCCGAATATGCTTCTGTACGCTTTCAAAACAATATAATAAGCTGTCACTGGAATATTTTTTACAGCTGTCGTACGAGTGGCTTAGAAATGACAGCAGTTTGAAGTTGGTTGCATTTTTTTCATCTCACCCCGTATATATTTTAAATGCTACCTCTGTATTTCACCCAATACCAAATTCAGTACTTTTCGTACAATTATCGTATAGTATATGCTAATTTTGTCTCTTCACCTTAAACGAAACTGTTCCAAATTTAGTACCTAACCACCCCTAAGTTTATCCCACTTTCCTAGTTTTAATTAAGTCAATTTCGTATTTCATTTCAGAATTCCTAAAACTTCTTCCCCTACAAAACGAAATACATCAGATACAAACGCAACAAAGTCTCATCTTGTATCTGCTGGTATTGCTGCTAATCATTACGTGTCTGCATTATACCTGGGTCTGTCTGAAATGGTTGCGACACAAACGCTATGTCCAGCATGCCCTCAAGAAGCTGAAGTTGAAAAAGGATCCTTTGCCACCGACAGCGCATCTAAATGGCGGAGGCGGTGGTACAACAATACAAAATATGTGTGTGATAAATGACATTGAGAGGTCACCATCACAGATTTACAGTATGACAGGTAAGAGAGAGTGGGAGAGAGAGAGAGAGAGAGAGCAATTGATGCTGGGCATCAATTGACTTTGAAAAATCCACTTAAAGTGGTTATCGAACATAAAATTTATGACCTTTTACCTAACAAGAGTGGAGTGTCTCGTAGACTAATCTCTTATCTATTTCCGTCTCTTCTTCTTCTTTTTTGTTGTTGCTGCATTTTCGCTTAATCAGGTGTCGAGGGTTCAGTGCTGACAATGACAACACCAATTAGCTCACGTCATCCAGCGGAAAATCAAACGCCATCACCCCAGGCCGTAACAAACGAGTATTCCTATGACAACCAGGCCTTGGCCGTGACGCCAGTTTCAGAGAAGCCAGGAGGAGGTTCGGTGGTTTTCTAAATCTCCATATTTAACCATTAGAAATTAAAAGTGGATCGTCATCACCTCGATCATCATCATCATCATCCATTAATTGAAGAAAATGTTAAAAACATTTTCTTTCTTTCGGCATCATTGTCATCCTGTGGCCTTCAATACTTAAAGCATCAATCAAGGGTTAATTGCTTCAACCTTCAAGGATATTGTCAAACTGTCTCACATAGTCTTCCTGTTTATTCTAGTTGATATTTGTTTAAAAATGGGATTTTAATCGATCCCGCCATCAAGTACTTAGTCTAAGCTATGAAATTTTTATGATATTATTACTACAACCAATTGTCAAATAGAATTCCATCCATGATATTTTATCACATCACTTTACATATTTTATACTAGTGATAGTTGTGTAAGTTATATTACTTAAATTATTTCGTAATTGTAAATAAGTATTTAAAAAAAAAACCTATTTTACTATAAGAAAATATATATCGGATAATAATTATATATACACATGTGCGATTGATTAAAAGGGTAAAGTAATTGATTGACAGACTTACTGACTTAACGATTCATTAACCTCCAAATGAAACGGCTGAAGCTGGAATCTCAAATTTTTGGGTAAGGGTCACTCTTGGGCCGAAGTGACCAGATAAAGCTAGGGTTTTAGAAATTCGTATTAGAACGGTATAAAAAGTGTTAAAAGGTATTAAATATGGTACCCTTAGTATTTGAGGGAGTAGTAGTCCTAGAACTCTTAAACTTGGTAGATAGATATACCATGAGGCTTTTGGAAATGCGCACATTAAGCCGGGCCGAACTTCTAACATCCTCACCTTAGGGTAATGGAAACATTAGAACCAATTATGACCCACAAATACCAATTTTTAGACATATTCGTAGGAAAATGAGGCAAAAATCATCAAAATACCGAATATCGGGAGATACCGCTATATAGGGCTATACAAAAACGTGCACCTATACATATAATTTTTCGCCAACGGAGCTAGAACCTATTATGACCAACTAATTCCAATTTTTAGACAAACCCATGAAAAAATTGGGCAAAAATCATAAAAATACCGAATATTGGGAGGTACCATTATATGGGGGCTATACCAAAACGTGGACCTATGCATGCAAGGAGCCAAAATCCACTATGACCAACAAATACCAATTTTTAGACAAATCCATGAAAAAATGCGGCAAAAATCATCAAAATACCGAATATCGGGAGGTTCCGTTATATGGGGCTATACCAAATCTGAACCGATCTCGATAAAATTTAGCAAAAATATTTCTGAGCTGCATTTGATATATTTCCCCAAATATTGTTGTTACGGAGTGCATATAACGGCTGCGCAGGACAAAACTAACAAATCGGATGATTTGTTGTATGTGCAAAATTCCATACTATTCGGGCTGATATTACACGTTTGGCGCACAATAAAAGGCAAATCGGACGAAAATATATATGGGAGCTATATTTAAATTTTTACTGATTATCTCCAATTTCAATAGGGTTCGTCCCTGGGCCAAACAATGGATCGGGCAATAAATGCGAACTGTACTTTGTTTCAGAAGGTGATTCTATGCAGATCATCAAAAGGAACTATGGGTCTATCTCGTTTCCTTTTGCCTGTTACAAACAAATGCACAAAGACATAATACCCTGACCACCTTGTGGTGTAGGGTATAAAAAGCTGTAAGTTCGGCCGAGTCGAACTTTGAATACCCTCCACCATTTGGAACTAATTTGGCAATTTTCAAAAACAATAAAACCCGTTAAAAATTCTGTTAAAAACATAAAAAATACCGAATGTAACCGTTATATCAGGGCCCATACGACGACATGGTATGCATTTCCATGTAGCTTTTGTCATAAGCCATTACAATATTTAAATGCGAAACTAAAAAACAAATCGGTGAATAATGTAGCTAAAATCATCAAACTACCGAATATCGGTATGTACCTTTATATGGGGGCTATACGAAGACGTGGACCTGCACAGACAATTTTCTGTCTTAGGCTATAGTATCCGAACTTCAAATACCAAATTTGAAACAATTCCGGTAAAAAATGTCGCTAAAGTCTGTAACGCCTCAGATTCCTCCGTTTGCTGAGGTTAGCTCACGGTGGCCAGAGTTCGTCACAGAAATTTATTTCTGTCAGCGAGTAAGGAAAATACGACTCTTTATTAATATGGGATCACCCCGGTTTATTGTTCTTCAGTTCAATGTATTTACAACCGGGATATTACACAGAGTCCTTGGAGTGATCTCGAATATTCGTCCGGCTCCGAGATAAGAGGACTCCTAGCAGCTTCCCCGGTTTCTTATCCCAGTGGCTTCGGCAACTCACTGGACTTGACCCAGGTGTTCTTGAGCGGCTTTGACAACTCGCTCTCCCCTTTTCCTGGTGGCTATAATAACTCACTCAGGTATATCTTTGTCCTGGGCTTCTTTCGCTTCGGCGGTCGCGTTTCCAAGATCTTTGGTTTCACTTTACTCACCTGAAGTTGCAAAAATAGGCTGCTTCGTTGATCTAGACTCCTGTTGGCCTAGTGACTCTCCATCGACTGTCCCCCCTGCAACTTTCTACTTTCCTTTTATAATCCCGTGTCAACAACTTACCGAAGTCCTTTAACTGCATACGCAGGCGCATTGTTGCTAGTTGTTTACAAGTTAGCCGCGCAATGCAGTCCCTACGACGTGCATTTTGTTGCTAGTTGTTTACATGTTAGCAACGCATTGCAGTCCCTGCAACGTGCGTTTTGTTGCTAGATGTTTACGCATCACAGTTCCAGAGACTTGCGTATTGTTGCTGGTTGTTTTCGAGCCAGTAACGCATTACCGATCCAAAGACGTGCGTTTTGTTGGTAGTTGTTACAAACAAGCAGCGCATTGCAGTCCCTGTAACGTGCGTTTTGTTGCTACTTGTTTACGATTTAGCCACGACGTACGTTTTGTTGCTACTTGTTTTGAAGTTAGTATCGACGTGCGTTTTGTTGCTACTTGTTTACAAGTTAGGATCGACGTGCGTTTTGTTGCTACTTGTTTACAAGTTATCATCGACGTGCGTTTTGTTGCTACTTGTTTACGATTTAGCAACGACGTACGCTTTGTTGCTACTTGTTTTCTTAAGTTAGGATCGACGTGCGTTTTGTTGCTACTTGTTTTTCCCCCGATAAGCGGTCAGTGGCAACAATCGAAAATAAAGGGAAATATAAGTTTTTCTTCCAATTAATCCAGCATTGCCATATATTTACTAAAAAAAGATTCATAACATATAAATAATTTCCGCTAATTACCGGAACTAGACACGTTTGTGTGACCGGAAACGAGCCTGCGACTTCCGCCATCACACTTCTCCCTCTCCTCGGGTTCATCGAAATCAACGGCTTTTGACGAAAACCTTCCCTTGTCTGTTAATCAGCAGTCTATAGGAGCGTCCACAGACTTCCACGATACGTTTGTACTGTTTACGAGGTACCCGTAACGCCATGCCCATCCGAATGTGTCTCTGCAGTCCCACCTGAACCTCACTGGAAAATTCCTCTCGGCATGAAAACCGGCACCATGAGTTTCTGCCGTCGGGAACCACTACCACGCTACGCATTCTTCTCGGGTCCCCATCGCTACTAGAACCGCTTTCTTCCGCTTCAGACTCTGTCCAATCAGCATACCTTGGTGACGTGCTAAGCTCGGCCTGGTACCCATTGTCCGTACCTTCCCTGACCTCGAGGTCGGAAACTATTTCGTTTCCCTGGGAATTATCCTCTGCGGACGAAACTTCAGATTGTGAAACGATGCTGGTCGGTATCATTTCTGGGAGGGATTCTTCCTCAAGGGTGATTATTGAAGATCCCGGGGACATTATAGGTGCTGGCAAGGATTCATGCGACGTTACACTAGACAGGGAGTCCTCGTCGAGAATGATAATCGACGATCCCGGCGACATAATCTGCGGTGGCGTAGGGGAATTTGCGGACCCATGTCTCGGCCTGGGGGGTGTGGGCTGGTCATCGGTATTTGGGGCGAATGACCCGTTGACTGGAGGCCACATAAAACCTGGGTTTGCCGCGTTCTCTTCATCCGAAATCTCGATTATATCGAGCGAACTTGGCCGCTGCTGCACTCTAAAGGGACGAACAATAGCTACTGGTCGCGGTACGTCCCCTATGGTCGTTCTTCCCAGCCGGACTGGGTTGGGCTGCGTAACTCCTGGTACGCCCTGGCAAATACGTTTGCTGGACGTTGGTGTAACCTCATCTTCCTGGTTCTGCCACTGTTGTTTATAATAGGCTTTGGTCTTTAGTACAGGCGATCGGTTTTCCATGTTGCCGTCGAGACTCTTTTTTACACCTGAAGAAGAAACAACAGAAAATGTATTAGTGGCCGCCTCCAATACTGGTGCGTTAACGCGTCCAGAAGAGGAAGTCTCTGCCGAAGCGAAAGGTTTCAGTTCACTTAGGTGTGCCCTGCGCACATCGTTTCGTTGTTGACCGCGAACGTTTACAATCACGGGGGAAGTGTAGCCCATCACTTCATAGGGTCCATCATATTTTGGGGCCAACTTTGCTGCAAAGCTTTCAATCGCCTTTGACAAGGGGTGTTGTCGTACCCATACCCAGTCGCCCACAGCGGGTTTCCATTGCCGCCGTCTCAGATTGTAATATCTCCTCTGCTGTTCTCCGGCTTGACCTATTCGTTGACGAACCATTTTAAAAACGTCGCGGAGTTCTTCCGCTCTTTCCTCAGAGCTTTTCCCAGTTGTACCAGTCCCATTCGTTACTTCATCGTAGAGAGTGTTTGGCAACCGCGGTTCCCGACATTGTATTATATAGGCAGGACTATGCCCCGTGGTTTCGGATATACACGAATTCATGGCCAAGTTTATCTCTGGAAGAAATTCATCCCATTTATTATGCTGATTCTGACAGACCTGTGCCAGCATCGTCTTAAGAGTCCGGTTCGCCCTCTCCGTTGGGTTCTCCTGGGGACAGTAAGGTGCGGTGAACTGCTGTCGAACTCCAATTTCTCTAAGGTATCTTCCTAATTCGCGACCCGTAAATTGACTACCATTATCCGAGAGAAACACTTTGGGAGTACCGAACCTAGACAAAATCCGCTCTCTAAATGCCTTGATCACGGCACCCGTGGTGGCTTTACGCAACGCCACCAGTTCCACCCATTTTGAAAAACGATCAATAAATACGAGAAGCATCGTGTTGCCATGTTTTGTCCTGGGTAGAGGTCCGACGAAGTCTGCACAAACCATGGACCACGGTTCTTCGGGGATTGTTAGTAACATCTCTCCAGCTGGTGCCAACTGACTAGGCTTGTACTGTTGACAAGAAATGCAACTTCTCACATACCTAGCGACATCCCTCATCATTCCGGGCCAATAGTATCGCTCAGAAACTCGTCTCGCCGTCTTTCTTATCCCAAGGTGGCCTGCGGCTGGCTGGTCATGGTTTTCGCTAAGTACGCGGTTCCGAAGATTG